ATGGCACTTGGACAGCAAAGTCTCCTTGCTTACCTTCTGCACTAGCCCCTCGCCCCTGTTTTGGATGGCTCCACCTTGAGCCAGTCACCCTTTTTGTGTCAGACCATCACTTCCATGTGTCCCATAACTTAAGGAGACAGCAGACATCCATGGTACTGTTGAGAGGTCCATGATTTGCTGTGCACATGCAGCTGTCAATGTGTTAACCTGGCCTTCAGGATGATCTGGTGCTGGGAAGGGAGAAGGTCTGCAGGGAAACAGAGACATGTTCTGGCCCTATGCTTGCTCAGAGGGGTTGGATATGGTCTCCAATACTGTTGCTTTTGGCATCTTTCATGGAGCTGTGGTGCTGCTGCAAGGAATTTTACTGTGAATAAAGCACAGATGGAGGAGAACCACACGGTCACCGTTTCTTCCCCTTTCAGCCTCTCTACAGAGCTCAGCAGCATGCACAGACCTTGCAAGAAGTGTGTGAGCAGCCATATATTCCCCATGGGAGCTCCATAGCCAACTGAAACTGCTTTCCCCCAGGCAGAACAGTGTACTGCCAGGCTTTTCTCTTCGTGTGGTACGTATGGTGGCTCACATCACAGAAACTGAGGTGAAACAAATCAATGAATCCCCTTGAGAAGACTCCAGGCCACGGGGAGGTGGCTGCTCAGTGACCCGGGCAGCATCCTGGCTGCACAGAGAGTTTCCCATAATGATAAGACTACAAAGGAATATTTATTTATCCAGATATTTATTTGGCTTTCATCTTTGGCAGCGTTTCTCAATCAGCCATTTCAAAATGTTTTGCCAGCGCTAATTAACCCTCGCAGCACCTCTGTGGTAGGGATCAGCATCCCCATGTCACAAATGGGGTCACTGTGAATGTAGAAGACGAGCAACCCCTTCCCATCACAAACTGGATGACCAAGGGCTGGAGAAGATAAGTAATCCCTTCAAGAAGGAAATGAAGGCACCAAAGAAATAATGATATCCTGAAATCCCAATCCCGTGTCCTAACAAAACCACCCTCTAAAAGGCATACACTCTACTGGAAATGCAAGCAGCAAAATACCATTCCTATCCTGCAAAGTGCCCATCTCCCTCAGCACTGTCCACACATTTAATAAGCCCCCAAAACACAGTACCCCGAAGCAACATTACACAACCCAGAAATCCCTAACGAGCTGCAGCACCTCTGCACAGCCTCTACCATCAGGCAGATCTTACCATGATCTTGCATGTGCTATTTATTCTATTCATTAACCAAGTTAATGGTGTCTAAGAATAGACCCCCAGATGTCCTCCTGGCCTTAAAAACTTCTTTGCCCTCAAGGAAATGCAAAGCCTAAGTGGCTTACGGCACGAGTGGGACATGGGCAATGAACCAAAGCTATGGAGAGCTTGCACATTTCCAAGAACTCACAAAATACCTCTCTGCTTTTAAATAATCTCTGCTCCAGTTTGGGGAAATAAGAGTTTAGCAAGGACAGCACAGAACAGAGCAATGGATATGTACGTGTATCATTCATTGATACAGAGATTATGCCAGACAGAGCCAGAGCTGCTCAAACAACATTTTCTGATATCTATTTCTGTGGTGCACTGCAGCGAATTCGCAATTCTGTAATAAACTGGTATTTCCAAAGATGATCTGATACTATACATTTAGAAAAAAATTTATCTTAAGCACAGTTCATTTCTGAATTATTTTTTTGGCGATGGAAATTATTCTGTAGTCTCGTTTTTTTATACATACTCCCCAATACATTTGGGAAATTTCCCAAAACATACTAAAGATAGCACTACGGTTTTCTGCCTCACTGCTAAAAATCAAAGCATTCATGTGCAGAATAAAGAGAAATTTCTTTCCGTACAAGCATTTTCCTTCTGCTGCCTGAATCCAGTCTCTTGATAATCAGCAATTACAGAAAAGAACTGTAACAATCAAATGGGAGTTTGCACTTAGAGAAAATCATGCTATTTATTGCCCGAGTTATTCAAATGGAGAAAGCTGTTTGGAAACCTATCAGTAAAAAAAAGAAACTGCTACTTCAGAAAGCTGAAATTTTGTTAATAGAGAGTCTAAAGACTCTCGAGAAGAGCACAATCCATTTGGAACAGATTTGGTCTTCTCAGAAGCAGGAAAGAATAAATATAGGGATTTAAGGACCTTTTCCTCCATTAGAATGTACTACTCTTTTCAACTGATACTTTATCAAATCATCTTTGGAATGATATTTTGAAAGGTGATCGTTGGGTTTCTATACCACTACTGACTTAGGAAACCTCTGGTAATTACATTTCAGTCCCTCACACATAGTCTCCAAACTGTTCACAGACCAAGGCAGAGGCTATGAAACTATCAGTTACAGCCATTTCCACACTCAGGGACTCCAGCTCCCATTTCATCAACCCACTGCTTTAGGGTTAATGGGGTTAAATACCTGATTTCCAGGCTGTGTGGGCTGAAATAACGAATAAAGGACCCAGGGAGACCACAGAAGTTTTCTTCCTTTTCCATTCCCACGTCTGGTTTCAACCTCAGCAAGCTGCCTGCTCACAGAGCTAACAAGCGGTCAGGTGGGGGATTTTGGGAAGCCTCAGCTGGGCTTCGGGAGGACCCATCTGGCTCATCCCTGCTCCATGGGGTAGGGACACTCGGCCGGGCTGCAGGAGACCCAGGGGGAGCCGTGCGTCCAGGCCGTGCCCGCGGGGCGGATGCTGCCCGGCAACGGGAGCGCAGGTTTCCATGGCGTTGCAAACAAGTAACGGAGAAAACCCGGGGCTGAGCCGAGCTGCATCGCGGCCACGGCCGCATCCGCGTCTGACCACGCTTTCCCTGCGGAGAGGAGCTGGAGGAGCTCTCTTTTGGGTGAGAAACCAAAAAATTAAGGGGGTGAGGGCAATCACAGCACTTTCTGTTCTCATAATTGGATACAGCGTCTCAAACAAGCAGAGGTGCTGGTGAGCGCCACTGCGATATCAGACACACCAACCGTCTCCTTCGTGGGTGAGTTGGGGGCAATGTTTTGGGAAACTGGACACATCTGTCCCTGGAAGAGTTGCTCTGTAGCTCAAAACTTGGAGTGATTTCCCAGAACAAGCCTTCTCTGCAAGCTGTGGTATCATTTGAATCATTTGAGTGTTTAAAACATATGCTCACCCAGTGCTTGGGGAATGCGGTGGATGGATTTTGTTGTATTATATTTTAAGAACTGTTTGCATGCTTACTTTGGTGTGTTTTTTTCTGCACAGCAGCTTGATGTTAGGGGAAAAGGAGGGGGCTGGTTGTAGGTCAGAGAGGTTCTCCTCCCCCTCTACTCTGCCCTGGTGAGACCGCATCTGGAATATTGCGTCCAGTTCTGGGCCCTCAGTTCAAGAAGGACAGGAACTGCTGGAGAGAGTCCAGCGTAGGGCTACAAAGATGATCAAGGGAGTGGAGCATCTCCCTTCTGAGGAGCGGCTGAGGGAGCTGGGGCTCTTTAGTTTGCAGAAGAGGAGACTGAGGGGAGACCTCATTCATGGTTATAAATATTTCAAGGGTGAGTGTCACGAGGATGGAGCCAGGCTCTTCTCGGTGACAAACAATGATAGGACAAGGGGTAACGGACACAAACTGGAACACAGGAGGTTCCACTTCAATTGGAGAAGAAACTTCTTCTCAGTGAGGGTGACAGAGCCCTGGCCCAGGCTGCCCAGAGAGGTTGTGGAGTCTCCTTCTCTGCAGACATTCAAAACCCGCCTGGACGCCTTCCTGTGTAACCTCATCTGGGTGTTCCTGCTCCGGCAGGGGGATTGGACTGGATGAGCTTTGGAGGTCCCTTCCAATCCCTAACGGTCTGGGATTCTGTGAAAAGAACTGAATAAATGTTTCAGTACATTAAAACCACTAATGCCTTATCTAATCAGTCACATACTACTGGCCATTCCTATGTAGCTACTGCAATATAAGAACGTCAGAGGCAGTGAAATATATGCTAAGTGATTCTAGCAACAAAGCAATTTTTTATTTGCATTATTAAGCTTAGTAACTATAATTAGCACAACTAGTGCTTCTGTAGCTTTTGGCTTTATTTCCAAAGTGATGTGCAAATTATGTATTAAAAACCCCCAGCAACCTCAAACCATAAATACCTTGATAAAATTAGTATTTATAAGTTAATCTTAGAAACAAATTCCTATACTTGGCTAAAATCATATTATAAAGCACGTTTTCTCTCCAAAAATTTCACTGCAAATTATTTTCCATATGCCAGTATCCTCTGTCTAGTCCTGCTTTTCAGCCCCATGCCCTGTAGCAGGAATTTAAATCAACCACATGAACAATAGAATTTTTAAGAGAAGAGCTTTAGAAGGCATCCAGGATGTGGATGAGGGACCCTTAGAGAAACATATCCCATGAAGTTATCCCAAAGTTCAGAGAAACATGAAAATTAAGCAACTGGTCAGGGAGGCTTTTGGAAAAGGTACCTCACGAACTGAAAAGGAGAGAGCGAACATTTAGGGTGTATCCAAACAGCCTAAATTCTACCTCAGCCTCTGCATCTCATCAGCAGCTGAAGTTTGACACCTCCAAAGAATAAGATGCTAATTGGGCAGCTGCAGAAATGCAGCCAATAGGAAACACAAAGCAGCAAGGACGAACATGGAAATCAGGCCAGATGAGTTTAGCTCAAAAGACATAAAAACTGGAGGCTGTTCAGAGCAAAAAACGATGCTCTAAAATAGCCTTCAAACCAGTGCAAGCGGAAGAGGATATTTTCTGCTGTGCAGATTAGGAATGGTCCCAGCAGAAGAATTGCATCAATCGAACTAATACCTAGCACCCAGCTTCCTGTCTTTGCTAATTAAAGGGTAACTTCAACAATTGCCTATCTGTTATTTGTAGGTGAGATCATCACAATTATGCCTGTTCTCCTAGGATCCATAGCAAAGACTACAAGCAAATAAAAACCTAACCTTCAACACTTTGCCAGCCTGAAATTAAACACAGCAGAGTTCCCTGCAGCATGTCTGTGTGCTCCAGCAGTTCCAGGCATTCGGCCTTATCGCAAGAAACCCAAAGTGCTGAAGAAACTTCTGGTAAGAGCTTTAGGGAGCAAAAACGTTGCTCATGAACCAGTAATGGGAGGATGAAAGTATGGGTTGGGATCAGAACTGGAGATGCAGGCGGAACAAGAGGCAAGGGGCTCGAGTTGCTTGTTATCTCCAAATTGTTTAGTCTTTGCTTTCCCATCTGTGTGTGTGTAAGGACTGTGTTTTACCCAGCTTTCACATATGCCAGGGATGAACATCTCCATTTTAGGGGCAGAACAAAAATATTTTCCAGTTTACTGAGGCTTTTTGTTAATTTCTACAGACACAAAAGTCTCAGTGGTTAAAAACCCAGAAAGCCCCTAGGCCCATGAGTGCTGTAAAACCTCCTGTGTCAGACACTGGCAGGTCCCAGCTGATTGATTTGTTTATGGTTTTCCTTGGGCCAGGGCCAAAGATGCCATCTCCACATTCAGAGTCAACATGCAAAAGTCTCTCTTCAGGACTCGGATTGGAAACCCAGCTTGTGCTGCCAGGTAGGGTCACGATGCTCCAGCAGCTTTTTGTTGTTAGTGAATGGAGAGCCCTCTGTTCAGACTCTTCTGCCCACGATCAGATGAGATGGGTAAAATAGCCCCAAGACTTACAAAAATGCCTGGTAGAAATCCCAAGTTGATCAGCAGATATGGTCAAGTGACATAAACAGCACGCTGCCTTCTTATAAGCCCTATCCACTTGTGATTCAGCATCACTGGACATGCACAGCTGTGATGCAGCACATCAGAGTCCCTTTGCACTGGGTGCTGATACCCTGCTTTGCGTCTTCTACATCCTTATCCCTTTTTTTTGCAGAAAGCCCAGAAGGGGGTGAAAAAAGCCCAATGAAAAATCCATTTACGATTCCTCCCAATGTTGGTATTTTCACAATAAGGGACAAGGAAAGAAAAAAAGCTAAGGAGGTATGTACACGTGCTTTTAGGCCAATGCATATACAAGCAGTTCACTAGGGCAGGCAACCAACCAATAAAATACCAAAATTAAGTGCATGACAGAAATAATAGCTGCTGAATTCAGCTGAGATTCCCCCCGATCAGATTCCAGTCCACTGAAGTCCATGATGAGAGATTAACTAATCAAGAGCAGATCTGAGCACAGGCTTGCTGTTTGCTGGTGCAAAATCTGGATATTGTAAGTTTGTTTACTTACTTCAAAGTAGATTTGCCACTCACTCCTGTTCCCGGAGAAGATACCTGCCAGTGCTATTAGCATTGATTTCTACATCAACCTTTGGTGCAAGATCTCTGTATTCCACTTCAACAGGCTTGGCTTTCAGCTTGGGAATCTGTTTTTCAATGTTTGATGACCTTCTTTGTTACCTTCAGTTGACCAACCTTTGTGGACCTTCTTCAGAAGTGCCAATGAAACGGATGCCTGGGAAGAAGGGCAACATTGGTTTCATGCCTTAGGTTTCTGCCTATAAGATAGAGAATTGCAACCCATCAGACCAGAGAGCTGGGTCTCAGGAATGTCTCTTTCTTCCTTATTTCTGCAGTGGACTTTCCTTAGGGCGTGTGATCCAAAGTGGGAATGAAGTCATGGAGAGGTCGTTGCATCTCTGAGAGGTCTGACTGTTGCGCTTGGTTGCAGAAAGCAGGCAGTAGTGTGGAAGCAAGAGGTCTTTGTTTCTAAATCACAAAGGAAAGGCTCCAAATAAGCTTAAGCAAGTCTCCTTGCCTCACATGGATGACTGGTTTTAGCTCAAGTTGGAGGTCACTATATAAGTATGGGGAAGGACTTAGGAAGAAGTGCACTGAAGATGTCTGCCAAGGGATGTCCTCAGCCTAACCCATGCCTGAACTGTGCAAAGAGCAACGAATTGCACTTCAGCCCACGTGAAAACACCGAACATGAACTAACTTTTACTCCAGAAAGTTCTGCAGTAGGTTCAAATAGACCCTCTGAATCCAAACTTGGGCGTTTACATGCCTTTGTGAAAGCTGGTCTGAGTTGGTATTGAGCGTGGGGTGTCCTGTTGTTCCCTTTTACTAGGGAACTTGAATGAATCTCCAAAAAATTTCCATTCTGTCCCAGGACTAATCCAGGAAGGAAAAATGAGGACACTGTGTAGGTAGAAACTGGCACAGCTGGTGGCTGGATGCAGAATACAAATCAACAAACTAATGAGAACAAATGTTAAGAAATGAAGTGTTTCAGTTGCCTCAAGAGAGAATATAATTTGAATTAGTCAGATAAACCAGGCAGGGTTGCATCAGCAGGGTATCAGTAGCCTGCAAATTTCTAGTCTGTGAATAACCACTTATGTCTTTAAAAAACAGAGCAAACAAAGCACATAATCAAACTGTCCACATAACTGACTTCTCCTCCTAGGAGCGTGAAAGGATGAAGACCATGAAAATCCATGAGAAAATGACTTACTCCACTAAAATAAAAGCAAAGCCTAAACCATTAAGGGAAGCTCTCCAAAAGGAGGAAGAGGAGGACAGAAAACAGACAATAAATGAAGAGAGTCTGAAAATCCTTCAAGATAGTCTTGCATGGAAGAAAGCCATTGGGAAAGGTAGTAAACAGTTACTACCTCTGTAGTGGTGCTGCTCAGCTGGGTAACAGCCTAAAGCCAAAATCAAAGAGGCAGTGGGAACAGCAGTTAACTCCAGCTGAGTCTGATGAGCTCTTGCAGGCACAGTAGTTACCTGCTGCACCTCGCCATCCTCTGTGAGGCTGGGCCATCTACATACAGAGCAGGCGCCAGCCCCACCGCAGCATCCCATGTTCCCCCATCCCTGACGCCCTTTGCAGTAGCCATGAGCTCTGGGAGCCAGCTGAGAGTTTGCAGGACCTTGTGTCATGGAGACATTTCTACTAAGCTGACCTAAAGTTGGATTTTAGGGGATGTGGGCCTAAATTTTCTGCCTCTGACATGAGGAGTAGCTTTGCCATTAATGTCTAAAGGACACTGACCTTGTACAGACCAGATTCTCCACTCCATTCTACTTGGTTTTACTCCACGAAAGCCCATATGGAACTGATCCTAAACAAGGTCAAAACTATAATAACATCATCAGTATGGCTGGCTCCGATGCCAACCACATCCATGCTCACAGCAGCCTCTATATTCACTGTGTTTTGCCTTAGCCATATTTCCCCCTCTAGTCTGATGAACTTTATATCCTCATTTCAGATTACCCATTAGAAAAGCAGACCTTCCATGATGACATAAATGACAGAAAAGAGACATTTTTACTTAAGGTACTTGGCTTTAAGAATGTTAATTTCTGTTCTTCCCTTCATTGCTGTATTTGTTGGTTGTTTTTTTTCCCCTGAGATCCATGGCCTAGAGATCACACCATGGAGGCACACAGACCTCACGAGCTGATTGTCCAAGTTAAAGACACTCATAGTCTATAGCCCAGAAACCCCCAACCAAGAAAGAAAGGCACGTAGGTTGTTAGCACCATCCAGTAGCAGCTACGCAACTATTTCATGTCAGATGCACAGATATCTCGACCTTTTGGCTCCTGCTGTCCCATACATTAATTGTATCTCGGAGCCATTCTGAACTCAAAACAGGGGAGCTGTGCTAGAGCATCCCCGTTATTCACCTCTGTTACTGTGCTGTAACACAACCAAATCAATCTTGGTCAGCCAGGAGTTAATGCAGTGCTGGGACTTCTGGGTTCTGTCTTTAGTTTCACTGCTTATTTGCTATGTTACTTTTGAAACACCTCCTGGCCTCTATGTACCTAATTTGGACTAAGACACAGACCCCGATTTGAAATTCTTACCCTATTATAGGGTAATAATGTAATAATGTAACCAAGAACAAAGTCAAACCAACTACCTTTAAAACCAACCAACCCATGTGTCTGTGTTTCCTTTTGGGGTCATTTCAGTATGCCATAGCAGTAAAGCGAGACGAGATGCAAAGGATGGAGAAGGTAGCAAAGAACAAGGAAAGAAAAGTGAAAATGGCTGAAGACCACCTGGAGAAGGATATTGCCACGTTTCATGAGTTCCTGAAGCAGAATCAAACAAACTTTATTCAAGCTCTGAAAACGTAATGGAAGTTGAGGAAAACGCCTGTGTGTTCTTCTGTGCTAGACACAGTGGGTCTTTTCTTGACCTCCCTGCAGGGTTTTGGCGAGCATCCATCCTTGGATGCTCCGAGTTTGCCCAGAGTTATAATACCAGTGACACTTTCTCCCCACACATTCGATAAAAGAGAGGAGGGAGACCAATAGCTGGAGGATTCCCTCACTGCAAAAGCTCTTGCTTTGGCTGCAGCAAGGAACCTGCCCTTGACCCCACCGCTTCCATTCTTCTCACAACGCCCTTATGAGAGGGAGATGTTCCCACCCAACCCCTCACAGCAGGAACAATCCCCCGAGTGAAGCAAGTTGAGCGCCTTGGCCCATTACAGGCATCACAAGAGCAGCAACTGATGCTCAGCAGCAGTCAAATTAGAGAGGCCTTAACCTGGACCCAATACTTTCTTTGCCAAGACAAGCAGGGCCTTCAGGCAGGAGCCAGGCATCACCTGGGACACAGCTATATGAGATTTCTAGCATTCCCCCTACATCTTTTTCTCTGCTTTATGTACCTCAGTACGCTACTCACTGCTAAATTGTTCTACTGCTTATGTCTCTGCATCCTTCCCTAGTGCCAGAAGAGAAACAGCAGCGAAGAAAACGAAAACGATGGAGGTCCGGGCGATTTCTTCCCAAATAGAGAACATCCAAAGGTAACGGTTGCACCTATTCCTGCCTAGCCATTAACAGCCCCTATGGCACTAAACCCTCATAGCCCTCAGGGGAAAAGGGATTCGGGGAAAAGGATTCCTAAAACTGTTCGATTTTAAGAGTCAAAATGATTCCATTTGTTTGCCAGATGCTGGCTTTGTTTCTATAACAACTCAACTAGTTTTTTAATGATATATTTTTTTAAAAGCATAAGTATTTCAAAACCAAAATTAAATGTCTAGTCTCAGATTAAAGACCAAACAAAAGTGATGTATTTTAATGGTGACCTGGGGAAAGAAGAAGAAAAAAAAAATTGTAATTCCCATTATGAGCTGAGCTGGGAAGATTTCTCTTTCATTTCCAAGTAAAAGTTCCCAAAATAGCAAGCCCAGTGCCATAGCAAGGGACAGCTTCCACATGAGGAACCAGAGAGCACACAGGGCAGGTTCCCATTTGTCTTCACACATCCATGAAGACACAGGCCCTCTCGTCCCTTCTCTGGGTGAAGGCGAATACCAAGAGTTAGAAAGAACCTGTTCAAACAGGGGCTTTCCCCCTGCTGACAAACTTTGTCCCCTTCTCTCACCTCAGCGATATAGCCAGATTCAAGAACACCCTGCAGGAGTACAAGATGTACAGGGACTTCCTCTATCACCTATCTCCAAAAGAGTGGCAGGAGGAGTATGAGAAAAAGCACAGGAAGAAAAAGGACTTGCAAACAGCATCCGAAGCTAATGAGCAGGGTGAGTGCCAGGGAAAAGCTGCCCGCTCCTCACCGGGACAGCCCCATGCTCTGAGCATGCGTCTCCTCTTGTCTCCAGGCCAGGCTCCAACAGCCCGGACAGATGCTGCCAGTCCCTATGGTACCGGTTGTACAGATGTGCCAAGTTCCCTGCTGTCTTCAAAAAGTTTGGGATTCAGATTGTTACAAGAGTTTAAGCCGCAGCTCAAACACTTCCTGAAGCTTCTATCAGCAAGAAAAATGTAAGTACGAGACAATGAAAACAACAGAGTTAAGCACTGTAGAGAGCACTCAACTGACTGGGGGTTAGTGGGGAGGAAACCAACCCCTCACTTTGCAGTGAGCAAACCAAGACTTGATCTTATTGGAACAAACCCAGATACCAGTTGAAAACCATCAGGTGTGCAAGCCGTTACCTGTGCACCTGCTCCAACAGAGCTTCAGCCTCAAATCCTCTGCGGGGAGCCTGCCCAAAGCGTTTGGGCCATCACCCCAACAGGAATCATAGAGCTCAGGCATTTGTCCTTGACCAAAGCTTCTCTGTGGCCGATCTGTGGTGGAGTTACTGGTTCACTCTGTTGGTCACAGCCACCGTGTCACAGCTGCCCGTTGGTTTTGCCATTAATGAAGGTCCAGGGTCATTGCAGACCCACATTGCATCGACCGTCTACTTTCCGTAAGAGCCTCAGACAGCACATACTGGGATGCAGGCAGGGTAACACATCCCTAGTGTGACCCCTGGTTCCTCCTGACCCCCAAATAGCCCACAGCCACAAGCGGCCAAATGTGTAGATGAGTAAAGGACTTTTCGGGAGCAAACAGCCAGAGCAAACAACAACAGTGTTGATAATTCACCAACAAGGTCTCCTTTGAGCTGGCATTTCCCTAAGAGCCTGATGCACAAAATGTTTTTTTTCAGAATTTCATTGGAGGATGTAGAAAGCGAAAATTGCTCAGATGAAGATGAGGTCAGAACTTTCTTGTTGAAATATTTACACTTTCTGCTTATCCTGTCATTTACTGATGTCACTAATTTCTCTCACCTTCTAACCATTCATTATGGTATTAAGGAGTTAGCCACTAATTATAAATGCATGTTTATACATTCATAAATGTCCATGTTTTAGCAGCATGTATGATAAACACCTTAGCTTAACTTCCCTCTTCCACTTTCCAAAACTCTACAATCACCTCAAATTTTGCCACCTTCCAATGAGATTTGACATCATGGGAGATTTTGAAATTAGTGAAATTATTGTTTATGTCTGAAATCAAAGTTTTCCCACTTACAGATGTTTGCACCACCCATTACTCCCCATAATGCAACTTGTTTGGGGGGTGAGCTACTAAGGCAGAGCAGAGCTACACGCGCGGCAGGAAGGTGGGAGACATTTGTAGATGGACAGGCATGGACCTCTACACGGGAGAGCATTTGAACAACCAGGGCTGGTGTAGCCCAACCTCCGTGTATTCCAATGGAAAAGACGCCAGAGGAGGACACAGACTCATCACATTTGTTTTCCACTCCAGGAGCCTGAGCTGTATTTCACTGATCCCCAACAACTGCTGTCTGTTTTCACGGAGATGGAGGAAGAGAACTTGTCCTTCATCCACAATTCCCAGGAGATCAAGGAAAGTTTGAATGAGGTCCAACACACCTTCATCAAGACACACGAAAGCATGTAAATATGGTCCTGCAAATGGTGGGAAGGGGCCTCTGTGCCCCAGGTTTCAAACTGAAGTGACCCCCTGTTCGCCCCACTATCACCTCGCCTTCAGGCTGCAACGCTGCAGACCACACGTAACGATGGTCACAGCACACAACCAGGAGTCTCCTTTTCATACCTCATGTCCAGCTGCAGCCCCTCCAAATCACCACCTTGTGAGCTCCTGGGAGAGGGTCCCATCTACAGAATTTAGGAGACAGGACTTGAGCTTGGCGCTGGTTCCCTAGTCCTCAAGAAACAGGCTGGGGAGCTGATGCATTTAGCAGCCTGGAGTGGGCATAAGATAGAAGTGTCCTGCAATTCTTATGAAGAAAGATCAAAGGAAGAAACAAGGCATATCCTGGAGTAATCCAAACCAGCACCTATTCACACTCAATGCAAACCAGCATTTTTCCTAGAGGAAAGCCAGCAGGGAGCCCAAGTGTAATTGCAGTGTAGTATTTCAATGGCAAGTAGGCACAAATATTCCCATTTAAAGCATAGCTTATCCACTTATGAAAATTTCTGAATGTAATATACTTCCCCCATTGATTTATTTAAAAAAATCTTAAATGTTTAGGTGTGCTGTGTATCCCTCCCCAACCCCAGCACAGTAGAAAAACCCCAAGTTCCCTCTGTGCTCAGAGCTGTGGGTGCAGATTCCCCAGAAATGGCACAAAGTGTTACCTCCACCTGCCGGCAGCAGGAGGGACAGTTCCAGGCTGGAAAGCAGCAGAGCGATGTGTTTCAGAGATGCCCTTTTCAAAATCATGAGATGTTTCAGGGATGCCTTCTTTCCCTTCTGGCCTAGGAAGAAGCAGTTGGCAGAGCTGAAACAGCAGGCAGGCAGCCTCAAATCCTCCGTCGCCAAAGCAGAAGAAAAAGTAGCAGATCTGAAGCTCAAAGTTCACTTTTCATCCTCTGCAGAAGACAACGCTGTTGACCAGGTACATCTTGAGGTCAGGGCAAGGGGAGTTCGCATGCACACAAACGGTTCCCCTCCACCAGCGATATCCATCCTGGGTAGAAAACAAACAGTGGGACAGTGGGGAGCGAGTCTTGTTGAGGGAACTAAAGCGCACCCATTTCCTTTGCTTTTGGAGGGATGTTGTGCGTCTACTGGGCAGAAAACGGCTGCGCCTCTCACCGTATTTCCTCTTCTCTTTAGGACAAAGTGCTCACTAGCTTGAACAAGAAAGTGCTGGAAGTCTATTGCCACTGCACTGGAGAAAAGGAGACAAACCTGGAGGCAGTGCAGATGCTCACGGTGATAGAAAAGCAGCTCAATGATTTACTGGATACCATGGAGAGAATCCCACCAGCAATGATGCAAAAGGCTGAGAAAGCCCATAAAAAGGAACAAAGGATGAGGTAAGACAAGGCCCTCTTCTGAAAATGGGGCCTCTGTTTTTAAATGTTAACAACCAAAAGCAAAGCCACTGAAAGAACCAAATTTGTCAGATGAACCCAGGAAACTGTGACCATTTTCCTCCTGTAAGGGTTTCACATTCATAGGACTCGCATCTCCCCATCAGCGAGCAGCCGCCCACAGCGACAGTAAAAAAGACCTGGGAGCTGCATTAGAGCAGGGCACAATCTGGAAGAATAAAAACAAACATGGATTTAATGATGAGAATAATAATCTTAAGAAATTAATTTGCAATAATATTTAAACTGATTAATTAAAAAATAACTCCTCTGTAGTTATTTAACACACTCTTAAGTCTGACATGCCCTAATATTTTGTCAAGCTTCAGTCGGTACATAAGGGCATTTGTCAGCAGTGTCAGCTTTCACATGCTTCTTCCACAAAGCTCTGAGGTTTAACTTGTATAATTAAATTAAACTGTAGCCAATTAACACAATAAATTTAGGTTCTGAGATGAGGCACATTCCTTTTGGCTCAGTCACACACACGAAACTTCCCCTCACAGACAGCAAAGATACAACTGGGGCAGCTGATGGGATCTGGCCATGCTCAGGGGAATCAGATCCAGCAGAGAAATAAAAAGCTTTCAAAGAGCATTTAACACTTTCCTGAAGATCACAGAATCACAGAACGTTAGGGATTGGAAGGGACCTCCAAAGCTCATCCAGTCCAATCCCCCTGCCGGAGCAGGAACACCCAGATGAGGTTACACAGGAAGGCGTCCAGGCGGGTTTTGAATGTCTGCAGAGAAGGAGACTCCACAGCCTATTCCGGCAGAGAAGGAGACTCCCCAGCCTCTCTCGGCAGCCTGGGCCAGGGCTCTGTCACCCTCACTGAGAAGAAGTTTCTTCTCCAATTGAAGTGGAACCTCCTGTGTTCCAATTTGTGTCCGTTACCCCTTGTCCTATCATTGTTTGTCACTGAGAAGAGCCTGGCTCCATCCTCGTGACACTCACCCTTTCAATATTTATAACCATGAATGAGGTCTCCCCTCAGTCTCCTCTTCTGCAAACTAAAGAGCCCCAGCTCCCTCAGCCGCTCCTCAGAAGGGAGATGCTCCACTCCCTTGATCATCTTTGTAGCCCTACGCTGGACTCTCTCCAGCAGTTCCTGTCCTTCTTGAACTGAGGGCCCAGAACTGGACACAATATTCCAGATGAATCACAAGGTTAAGAATTCATTTCCTCAATAGCTTGAGCCCGTTTCTGTTCCAGTGCACAGGGAACTGGAGCCAGGCAAAGTGGCTCCATGGATGTAAAACCCTGCTGCTCCCACCTGTATATTACAGACTTGGTTGCACTGGTGAGGATTTAAGATACAACATGCATCATCCACCCACAAAGCTACTGAGCATCCTGGTGATCTACAGAGGCACAGATCACCTGCTGAAGGGGTACGGAGCACAGTCTGACATTAGCAAAGGTTGACGTGCTTTTCCCTCCCCTCACTCCAGAAAGAGTAAAATCAACACACCGAGTGTTTCCCTCTTAAAGCCTTCACAGCAACGACCTCCAGCATCAGCTACACCCAAACCCCTGCGCTCTGGTGGTCTTACACTGCCAAATAAGCTGTGTCTCCAAAGCACACTCACTGTATCTGCATTTAACCCATCCTCTCTTTGCTCCCTTCGAAAGGCTCAGAGAGGAAAAGCTCAGACTGGAGAAGCAGCAGCAGGAGGAAAGAATGCACCAGGCTCTGGAGAGATCGCAGGCACTCGTCATAAAGCCATAGGCAGCGATAGGAACACTCCTCCTCAACAGCCCACCTCAGAGGTACCTGAACACCAAGCATTTTAGAGGACTGTTACTGGGGGTCTCTATAGCTGGGAAGGGGAAGCTGTCCGTACTCAGGTGTAGCCCAATTTCCAGGACTGATGCAATTTAGGCCACTCCTGGGAAGTCATTTACACTGCAGGGTATTCCAGCTCAGTGTCCTTCCGTTGTCCTCCTGTCTTTTTGTCTTGACCCCATGGCCCCCTACAGTACTTGCCAATTTTCTCATTAAGGTAATTTCAACTTATTAACCTGGTGGTTTTAAAAAAAGCATGAAAATCAGCAAAAGAGGGACCAGGCAGCAACGGGACACTCCTGACAACAGCAGCAAGCCCCTACATAGCTCAGCCATACCATCACCCCGTACCTTCCTTGGCATCTTCCGTGTTATCCCAAACTGGGCATGGTTTGACCCCTCAGAAGGGCCAGTGTGGAGCTTCAGGCGGCGGCTCCTGCTACCTACACGTTTCAAAGGTCAACACAACGATGAGGACATCCCAGCTCTGTCACAGACCGAGCCGGTGACAGCACGGGCGATTGAGAACATGTGCCATGAGTCCTCACCCCTTTACCCATGACAAACTAAGAGGGTCCTGCAGGTACTTCTTCACACTTCCCACTTCCCATCCCCTTGAGATCATACAAACAAGGCTTCGGTCAGAGAAGTTGCAGGTGCAATTGTACTTTGTGGAAGCTGAAGCACGACCACACGTGCACAGCCTTTGGGTGCTTGACACTTACCTTCTGATAGAAGAGAAACACTTGATAGACGCAGTGAAAGTGCCTGCAGAACAGCCAGCAAGGGGCCACGGACCCTCACAGGAGAGCACAAGGGCAAGGAGCAGCTTTGGCTGTGGGGTTCAGACAGGAACCGCACCGCAGCACTCTCACAGGCACTTCCTCTTCTGCAGAGCAGCCGCAGGACAATGTTTCACTCCATACTACCTGTCAGAAAGAAGAAAAAAAGGCTCAGCCAGGAACAAGTGGATAAGGAGAAGGAAGAACAGCTCTATTATTTCACTTGACAGCACGGGCTGATTCTGCTCTTGGAAGCTTTTCATCTGCAGCCTCTCAAGTCTCAGCTGTTTGCTCAATTGATGAACATCACAGCCCCATGAAATTCCCCACCTTCTCCTACCCTGAGATCCCAGGGAATCTTCTGCCTATGGTAATAAATGAAATTTTGCTCTCATTTTGCTTCTCAGGCTCCTGCTAGCAATGCTTTTCTCATTCAATTAGCACTACACCTACGAACCTGACTAGTGAGATGTATCGCAGTCCTGGGTAACAATCTTTGCTATGGCAGGACAAAGCCAGGCACCTGCCAGACATCTGTTATGATCACAAATCCCTTAGTAGTCTGTAACAAATGAAGGCTACACTTTAATCCAAAGGATGGATTTCATTATAGACACCAGCCCACCACTGTGGAGAAAACACAAGCAAGTTAAAAACAGGCTCTGCAGAAATCAAGCTGCTGACACTTGGCTTCATGTCAGATGCACCCATACAAAGAACAAAACCCAGTGACAAACTGACCATAAAAAAAAGCTTTATTAACCCTTTTGCACCAGTTCTTCAGGTATCCATTGCCAGCAATGGAGTTCAAGCCAAGTGATCCAATTTTCGGCCCCAAGAGGTTAGCACTTTACATTCACTTACAAAGCAGAGTGAGGTACATTTTCAGAAGTAGAAAGAGTCGGTTGCAAGTCCCATAAAAAGATGGAGTGTTCCTTGGCCATTTTAATAGAGTAAGAACTGGTATGGTCCTTGAGAACAGAACGATGCAGGCATGGGGAGCTCGAGGTGTCTCAGTTTCCAGGGAGAGCACAGTGACCACCAGAGCAAGACCCAGTGGTCCCTTCAGCACGATTCCTCCTCAACATTTCCACCTCTCCATGCCGCAGTCACAGCCACCAGGCACAAGATCTCATCTACCAATTAATTTGGTTTGGAAACCCAACCTGAGAGGGTTAAGAGATGCCCTGGGCATAAGCTGTAAACTGAGGGTAAGAGGAACAGCGAGACCTCAATGCTCAGTTAGGCTAAAGGTAGAAAAATAAAACTGGTTCAACCAGAGGATAAAATACTGCCTAGAAATCAGGGTGTGAAGTTGAATGTGACCTGTATACTTTTTTTCCTCTCCAAGTCTTCAACCAAACAAGCATTTATCTGGACACATACATAGTTCAAAAGGCACAGGAAGTAAAAGCATTTCTGAATGACCTCGTGTGAATTTTCAATATCAGTATAACTGTAAAATAAATAAATATGTGCAAGATTAGAAAGATCACAACGTTCTTCTGCATGACGTTTCTTATTTTGTAAAAAAAAAAAAATACACATACGTGCATACACACACACCTCATTGAGAATAAAAAACAGTACATACACCCCTTTATCAAACTCCTATACGTTTTATAGGCATTCAGTACACCACCGTAAGAAACATTTAAATTACTACCTTAAAATGTAACCAAAGGTGTGGGGTTTTTTGTGTTTTTCCCCTACACAACCCTATACTTATTTAGGTGTCTGCAATCCAGGTAAGTACAGTACATACAACCTCTCCCCACACCCTCAAGAGAAACTGCAGTTTTCCAGTGGGGCAAATCTTCCTAAGTAACAATTCTTTTCCTCCCATCAAATACTCTGAAACTGCGTATTGTGTAAACCGGCCGAAAGCTCCACGTGCACGGGACACTCTAGGATATCAATAGAGAACAAGTGTTAGCAGTGTTCAATTAAAAAAAAACCAACAAAACAAAAAGAAAACTAAAGAAGTAGTGGCCAGTTTACAGGTAACCTGGCAGCAGTTTATCAATGAGATAAAATCAAGGTGCTTATATTTACGTGACGGTCAACATTTCTCCCAAAAAAGGGAACACAAAGATAAAACTAGCCCCTCTCAGCTGCTGTTGGACTCTTCATCACTTACAGTGAGTACAGCTCTATTGCAGTTTTCTTGTTCAAGTTTTGCTGGAAGAATTCAGCAAAGTATTTGGGATGCAGGAGCAAGGAAAGGGAGAAACTCAACATGAGCTACGAACTGATTCACAGCTAAGTTAACATTTAGAATCTAGCTTTCTAAAACAAAGATTTTTGAGCATCTCATTTCAAGGCATAGGACGTTAATTCTGTGACGTGTGACACCTTATTCCAGTTTTCTGCCAAAACACAGGGGCCAAAACAATTCTTTTGTGTGTGTGTGTACGGAAAACACTTGCAAATTTTAGTTCTGAATTCCTCAATGCCACTGGCTCCAGCAAGAGACCAAAGGAAGGAAAGACTGAACTGTCATAGGCAGGATTATAAATTTATACTTGTTAGCTGTAGAATACTTGCTTTCCTGTGAAAACAGTAAATATTACCTCAGTTTGAAGTTTAATACAGTACTTCTCCCTGAAACAACACTGTACAGCCGTCTGCCCCAGTCTCCCAACCACAAGGCAGACAGGGTATCTTACACAGGCACATCGAGTGGGATTTACATTTTTTTAAGAAAAACCAGCTGCAACTATCCTTAGCAAATTGCAAAGAGTGCATCCGTAATCCAGAACTCCTGCTTTTCATATTCTCCTCAAAAAAGACCCACACAGCTATCTCACTCTGTCAAGACGTGACTGCCCGATCTGTTTTCGAGTAACTCTTCTTAGTAACGGTCATTCCAGATCCTGTAAGTTTATTGTGCTTCCAGTGAACTGAGAGTTATCAGAACCGGCATCATCCTCAGTGGAATTGTGTGGTTCCTGTTAAAGCAAACAGACAGCAAGAAGAGTTCAGTGCTTTCACCTCTAGATGCTTTTAATGCTTATCAGTAACATTACCTTGACATTTATCCAACACCACAGAAACGCTTTGAATGGTTTACAGGAAACCCAAAGCTTTCCAGGTTCGGGGACCCACTCAAAAAATGCTGCTATAGTTTTGATTTGGAACACTTGAGATGATCATTACTAATGGAGGTAAATGTAAAATCACTATTTGCTTTTCCTTTGTTAACTCCCTACCATGGCCAACAATCCCAGTACTCTTGCAGGTTTATCACACTAAGGTGCTCCTCTCAAATACACAAGCTTTGTTTTCTATCCAGGAGAAGCACAGCTGGTACAAATAACTGCACTGCAGTTTATCAAAACCGAAGCCCCATATGGCCAAGTACAAAATGTGGTTTATGTACATGCTAATCAGTCATTGCTGCTCAGTTCTCAGCTGTTCCTACTCACCAACACAGTTTACCAGAAAAGCAGGTAACAAAACACTTACACAAGCAGCTTTCTGTGTTCAAACAACACTGATACTCCACAGTTGACAAGGGCAAGTAGTGACACCAAAGACTATAGAAGTGAGCAGACTTTTTAATCTGCCATTCCCATACAGACAGCTCTCAAATCAAAGCTTAAGATTTTATTTCCCACTTCCCACTCTTCCTGTAGCCTGTTACGTATCTATTCTGATCCTCCTTCTGGTTCCACTTAGTATCTGCAGGATGGGATCAGGAAAACAAGGACGGGGCACTTCAACAATAAATGAGTAACATTTAGTTATTCGTTACTCAGTAACAGGGGAAGAAAAACAACCATCCACATCATGTCAAAGGTTGGTAACACACACAAGATCCATCTGCAGTGCAGCTCTGCTTACTGCTTCCTGTAAGTTGAATTTAACTCCCAATGGAAAATGAGGTATTTTCATTAGGCAGAATCAGAGGGTTCACAGTAAACTCTCTTTCCTTTCAAGGTAAGCAATAAAACCCAACAGCTCAAACATGCTGTACCTGAAGTATGTGAACAGGTAAATCCACTGTAAGCTGAGAATGTGACGAGGAAGACTGAGAGCTCAGTTGGAAAGGCAAATCTCCCTCTCCTGGGGAATCATCCTGTGAAGGCAGAAACGTGACGTGATTACAAGACCCCCAAGCATCTCAGCATAACATGGCACATTTCACTCAGCCTCACAACCTTAAAAAATCTGATAACGTTACTGCACTGCGCTAGTAAGGCCTAGATCCACAAAGATATGTGGAAAGCTAACTACCACTTAAGTCTGAACCTAGCTCAGTGTACAACCTATTCTCCTGTCAGAATGAACTTGGAAAATCAGCAAGATCTGGAAAGGAAGGAATGGTTAATCCTCCAACAAACAGGATACTCAGAAGTATGTGACCAGTTACACCATGGTGTGTGAAGCTGATACTGAACATAAAAGTTACAAATGTTTACACCCATCAGAAAAAGCAGATAGAGGAAGAACTCTGCCCATGGCTTCCTCCACACCATATATCTTGTTAGGAATACAGTGGAATAAACTCGTCCTTTCTGTGGATACTATACACCTGGCCAAAAACATACTACCTGCCATGCTCCAATAATCAGCCCACATGGATTACCAGGTATTTTTAGCAAAAAAATACATCTTAAGCTTTATTTTAAAAGTTTAGAGAAGTAACAGTTTAGGCTGAAACTTCATTTTGCAGAAGTCTTTTCACATCAGTCTCATTTACCTTGTAAATGAGAGAGGTGGAGCAATGTAAGAATCTGGGGGGATGTCAACAGAGAGGACGACTGGAGGAAGAAGTCACACTCCCAGGCATCTCTGAAGTTAATGCATGCTAGTGATCTTTGCCTTTGGGAAGAACAATTACTCCACACTCTGGGACAGGAATGTCGTATCTGTTTTGCTGCTCCTGCACCTGCCAGTTCAAACTGGGAAAATCCTACTAGGTCCTTGAAGGATCAAAACTCTCACGTGTGAAACAGAAGTTTGCTGAAACTCTTAGTTTCACCGCTGTGTCCTGCATCAAGTGTGAACAGCCCAAACAGCTGAACAGGATGTTCCCTACAGTCATAGAGCCTGTATGTTCCAGGCTGGACTGATTAGCACTAAACCAAATAAAAACATCTTACCCATTTCCACAATGCATCTGTTTGGGCCACCAGCAGCTGTACGATTGAACCACCTCTGTTTTCAGGCATTTCTAGACCTCTCTAAAGCCAGTTCCATAGAAACTTCCCAGGAAAGTGTT